TTTTTATGCAAAACAAGTGTGCTAAGATGGAAAAAGAGGGGGTAGTTTAAAAAAATTCATTTTAATTAGTTTTACATGATATCAGAATGCATTTTGGCACATTGTACATAAATGGAGTATAACTTTTCTTCTGGTTGTACATGATGTGGAATGACAATGGTTATGTAGTCATATATGCACATAGGGTAATAATGTCTGATTTATTCCACTCTCCTTCCTACCTCCATAGCCCCTACCCTCCTTTCACTCCCCACTGTCTAATCCAAAGTACCTCTATTTTTCCCTAGCACCACACCACCATTATGAATTGGCATCTGCATATCAGAGAAAAAATTAGGCCTTTGGTTTGGGGATTGCCAGCTCCACCCATGTACCTTCAAATATCAAAATTTCATTCTTTTTTAAGGCTGAGTAATATTGCATTGTGTATATATACTATATTTTCTTTATCCAATTCATCTGTTAAAGGCTATCTATCTTGGTCCCGTAGTTTGGCTATTGTGAATTGAGCTGCTATCAACATCGATGTGGCAATATCACTGTAGTATGCTGATTTTAAGTACTTTGGATAAAAATGAGGAGTGCGATAACCGGGTCAAATGGTAGTTCCATTCCAAGTTTTCTGAGGAATCTGCATACTGCTTTCCATTTGGTTGCACCAATTTGCAGTCCCACCAACAATTTAAGAGTGTGCCTTTTCCCACACATCCTTAGCAACATTTATTGTTGCTTTGTATACTTGATAATTGCCATTCTGACTAGAGTTAGATGAAATCTTGGAAACACATTCACAATCCATGAGTTGTAATCAGGAGAGCTCAGACTTTTTTATTTTATTTTTATGTGGTGTGGAGGATCGAACCTAGCGCCCCGTGCATGCCAAGCGAGCGTGCTACCGCTTGAGCCACAAGCCCAGCCCGTTAGATGAAATCTTAATAGAATAGTTTTGATTTTCATCTCTCCAATTGGTAGTGATGTTTTTGATTTTATAAAGAAATACGAATGCAGTAATCCCTTATTCTCAAGGTGATATATTCCAAGACACTCAGTGGATGCTTGAAACCAAGAATAGTACTGAAATACATATGTACAATGTGTTTTCCCTATATACGCATACCTGTCTATGATAAGGTTTAACTTATTAGTTAAATCTTATAGTAGATATAGTAAGATATTAACAATAATTAATGAGTAAAATAGAACAATTACTGTATTCGATAAAATAGGGGTTACTTAAAAATCAAGCAGTAGAATATCATGACAATTGATCTGAAAACTAAGGCAGCCACCAAGTAATTAACGGGCAGGTATCCTATACAGTGTGAGCATGCTGGACAAAGGGAGGATGTTTCCTGTCCTGAAGGAGATGGAACAAAGCTTTCATCATGCTACTCAAAATGGTACACAGTTTGAAACCAATTAACTACTTATTTCTATAATTTTCCATTCAATATTTTTGGACCAGGATTGACTGGGAGTAACTGAAACTTTAGAAATTGAAATTGCAGAAAAGTGGGGACTACTATAACTGATATTTATTGAGAGGTTATTTTATACCACTGTTCTAAACTTTTTCCAAGCACTTCCTTAATGATCACAAAAATTCCTCAAGATACTACTACTGTTATTGTGATTTATGTTTTCAGTTTAGCAAAATAAGATTTAACATGTTAGCAATTTATGCAGGATAAATATGAGTCAGGGTCTCATTCTTGAGTCTGTCAGCTCTAGATTCTGGCAAGTCAGCCCCTAGGAACCCACTCACTCACTTGTCCCGTGTCTTTTTCTTTGGGGGATTGAATCCAGAGGTGTTTTTGCAACTGAACTACATCTCCAGTCCTTTTTATTTTTTGAGACAGTTTTTCCCTAAGTTACTCATGCTGGCCTCCAACTTGTGATCCCCCTTCAACAGCCTCCCCAGTAGCTGGAATTACACACATATCACCATGTCTGGCCTTCTCACATCTAATAAATATCAGAGTCAGGATATGACTCTGAGTCCTTCAGCTCTCGATCCTGAAGAGTTGGCCCCTAAGATCCATGTACTTTCCCCACTAATATAAGTGGAGACTGAAAATCATCCAAATGTTCAGCATTAGAGGCACACATTGTGAACATCATTAGAAATCATATGACAGAAAAAAGTGCATTGCCGTGGAAAAGGGACTCAGTAATTATATAATGAGAACCTGAACTTGCAAAAAGAGTTTTGATGTGAGACATTTTGGTTGAATTCTAAGAATCTCACTTTCAAGTCCCTTTCACTTAAGGTGAAAACAGTTTCACTCTGTGTCCAAACTTTGAAATAAGCTGAGTCACTTCAAATTTTAAAAAAATTAATTTTGAAAGCTATCAGACACTAAGAGTTGTGAACCAGAAGTTTTACCACATGGCTATGATATTTTAGCTGAGGAGTGGAACCGTACACAGCCCTTAGTTTATGAAGTGCAAAGATGCAATGTAAATTCAAACTGTCAATGTGGTTTTTCTCATGCTGTTAGTTTGGTATTAGCTGTTGCTATAATTTAGAGTCTTATCTTAAGTCCCAATCACTGCTTCTCACTCACTGAAAAATGTGCACCCAAATAATAACTTTAAAATGGGATTGGATCTAATGGCAGACCTTGAAGTAACCTACAAAATGCTACACATTGTTCATTTATCAGAGATCATTCTGAAGAAGGATGCTTATAAAGATTGCTGAGAGAAGAAAAACCATCTTCCAGCAGGTTCACCTTGGACAAAGACTCAGTCCTTCAGCCAGTCTCTCTGATTCCTCTTCTTGTTTGGTTTTCTTTAGATTGCTGACACTAGTTTTAGCAGGAAATCCTGATAAGCCAGTTTGGTAACAAGGCCCCATCCTGTATATCCAATCAAGTTCATCTACTTTCACCCCTGGCATCTAATCAAGCTCTGCTTCCTCTCCACCCTTGAGACTAACCACATTACTCCTACTAATTTTCTATCCACTGACTCTCTCATCTGCCCTTTGGCTGTTGTATTGAAAGTTGAGTTTAATAGTCTCTCCCCTATTGCAATAATCTTCAATAAAATCTGTCTTACTACTTTTAACAAGTTCTTGGTAAATAGATTTTCAACACCTTAACATCACAAAAAAAAAATGTCAAAAATCCCAGAATGGACAATGGGGAACATGGAAAAATGCTGAGAATTTAATGTCAAGGTCATCCCTATTGCTAATTACAGTAGGTGTTGATTCACCCCTGAACTCTTCACAGGGAAATTCATCTTGAATTATGAGGTTTTGGACTATGGAAGGAATCAGAACTGCATCCCTTGCTTACCATATAATTGTCTAACACAAATATAGGAAATAATCTGAAAGAAGATGTGCCAGAATTTTTGTCGGTGCCTTTCTAGATACCTGTTTTGACAATGCAATCTGTTCTTATTATCTGAAGATTCCATACATGCAAATTCTCCTACTAGCTAAAATGTATTGATTCTTGTAATCAATGCTTTGTGACCACATATGCAGCAAGGGAAAAAATTTGAGTCACCAGATGTGTATGTTCACAGCTGAGGTTGAACAAGGCGATAATCTGCCCTCTGGTTTCAGCTCTCATACTAATAGCAAGTGTCCTGTTTTCCATATATTTAGTGTGACATTCTTTATAATTCTGTGCTTTTTCTTGGTGTTTTTCCATTTAAAATGATCTCCAAAAATGTAATGCAGAAGTGCTGTCTAGAGTTCCTAAGCACAAGCAGATTGTGATGTGCCTCATGTAGAAATATGTGTTACGTAAGCTTCCTTTGGGCATGAATTATAGTGTGAGTGGCTGTAGATTTAATGATTAACATTAAACACATATTAATCATTCAATACATATTACATAAGGTGTCTTTTAAAACAACACACAAAATGGTCATGTACTGAAAAAAAATATATACTCTTGATTACTCTCCAGGAACCTAACCCTGTGTTTTCCCTATGAGGTCTGGTATAGTGTTCACTAATTCAGAATTCATGGCAATTTTTTTAGGACATAATTAATCATTAGAATTGCCTGTATATTACTTATGTAATAAAAGTGCATTATTTCTGAAAATCGGGTTGTATGTTGTTTTAGTCAGCTTTTTGGCTGCTGTGATTTAAGGACCCAACCAGAACAATTGTGGAGGAGGAAAAGTTTATTTAAGGGCTCTTGGTTTGGGAAGTCTTAGCCCATAGAAGTCTGGCTCCATTTCTCTGGGCTTGAGATGAGGCTGAACATCATTGTGGGAGTGTGGCTGAGGGAAGCAGAAAGAGACAGACTCCACTCTCCAGATACAAAATATGTACCCCTGCCTTGAACCCTTCCTCCAGCCACACTCCACCTGCCTCCAGTCCCACTCAGTTAATCCCATCAAGGATTAATTAACTGATTGTGTTAAGACTCTCACAATCCAATCATTTCTCCTCTGAACCTTCTTGCATTGTCTCACATGTGACCTTTTGGGGTACATCTCACATCTGAACCATAACATGTAGCAGCACAGGTCCACCTGAAGATGGAATCTAGAGGAAAGAAGATGGTTGTGGACTGAGCCTAGGAAGAATGTTCAATCTCAGCCTTCCTCAGAGGTCGGAGCTGTTACAGTCATCCCTCAGCTGGGAAGTAAGGCTCAGGGGTGGAACTTGTCTCTGTCAAATGAGCAGGCAGAACTTGGACCAGTGTTTGTCATTGAAGTTGGAATGGACCATGAGTATAAATGCATGCTTCTAGTGCATTTTATCAGTGTAGAAAATTAAATAAAGAGATGTTGTGCTGTCTTCTGTTGAGTAGCTGGCAAAGAATAGAATGAGCTACAGGACCCAAAGCCTATGTCCTGTCCGCCTCATCCACTCACAAAAGGAAAGGAGGACTGACTCTGTACTTGGGTGGCCTCCAGGGTATCGGGTCACTGCCCATGTACTTCTAACAGCTGACTTGGAATTGCCCTCCTCCAGTCCAGAGGCTGTTATGTTTTTTTAGCTGATTTCTTCTCTCTCTTTGCAGTTCCACCTCTGACAGAGCTCAGTCACCATGGATGCAAGTGAATACCGGAGGAGAGGGAAAGAGATGGTGGATTATGTGGCTGACTACTTGGAAGGCATTGAGGGGCGCCCCGTCTACCCTAATGTGGAGCCTGGCTACCTGCGTCCCCTGATCCCTACTGAGGCTCCCCAGGAACCAGAAGCATTTGAGGACGTTATCAATGACCTTGAAAAGATAATCATGCCAGGGGTAAGTGTATATCCAAAGTCAGAGAAGAGGAAAGCTAGTGCTAATGTAGTACCTACTGGACACCATGCAATTCACATCTATTATTTCCAAGAATTCTCAGAACAGGTTAGGGAGAAATTTCTATCATTTTTATCTTATATCAGAGGCAACTGAATCACAAGAGATTAGGTGCTCCACTTAAGTTCACACATCTAGTAAATGATGGAGCTTGGGTGCCAATCCAGATCATGCAGACTCCAAGTAAAACAAGTGGGCTATCTTTTGAGGCCCAGTCCCTGCCGCAAGACACTTGGTACCTGCAGAGTGTTATCATATGCTGGTAAGAGGAAACAAATCCCTGATTACTGATTGCAACTAATTAATTGCCCCAAACAAAGCATACTCCTATCATTGTTGTGCTCACCAAATGGTAGATCATATGGATAGAGAAAAAATTTTGCTCATTTTGTTTGAGTGGGCAACATGACACTGCTTCACCCCAGAAAGTGCAGATTAGCCCAGCCCCAAAGAAGCAGGACCTGTTGCCATCCCTGATACCCAGTGAGGGGAACAGAGGGCTGGCATGAGACCTCATTTCAGATCTGTGTTCCTACGGTATGATTTTCCCCATCAAGGAATTCATCTTAAAGCCCTTGAATTACTGTGGGCTCTCTGAACAGGCCGGCCTCCCCCTGACACATGGATGAGGATTGTCAAACCTCTCATCCTGTGTGTCTACTTTAATTTCCACAAACAATATGCAAAGTCCCAGCCTGGCATTGGTGGCGTTGGCAGATGGATCCCCACCCTCTGCGCTTCTGTGGTTGCAAGATCAATAAAAAGCAAATGTATTAGACACGGAGCAGGAGGAGTCTAGGATCACTGAGATTCAGTCCCTCATTTTCAGACAGAATGCAGAGGCCCTGAGGTGGACCCAGATCCAGGGCCTGGGGGCTGAGACTTAGGTCCTCAACTTCAGAGACAGTTCCTTGGTTCCAGGGCACTTCTTATGGCACCCTCCTTTCATAATACATAAAACCCATACAGAGGAGTATGGGAGGGGGGCATTAAAGTCCTCCTGCTGGACTAGACAGGAGTATTTACTGCTCAGAGCAAAGCTGGGAAACACATGGCTGCGGGGCTGGGTCCCTGGGGGTAGTCCAGGCCTCCCTGTTGCAGGTCTGTGGTCGCAGGGAAAGTAGGTGAGTGCTCTGCTCTAAGTAGAGAGTGAGATTGGGACCATCAGCCCAATGTGGTTGTGAATCTTATCAGAGAGTGAAGCAAAAAAGGACATGTCCCAGTCAGGAACGACTCTTGCCTTCCCCAGGTTTCCAGAAGCAGGTAAGGGGGAAACAGAGCTGGAAGCAGTGTGGGGCTTCTGGTTCCCTGAAGGGAGGCTAAGACCCCAGGCCACAGTCTTACTGTCCTGGGCCCTGGGCACTTGTACCTTTTTAGGCTCCTTTCTTCATAGAAATATGCAAAATTAAGCTGAATATATTAGTGTTATAGGTACATTTTTTTCCCCTTTGACTAGCAAGTTCACATTTTTTTTTTGATCTTAAAAGAAAGCATGTCCTGGCCCCTAAATCTTTTGTGGACCCCCAGTCTGCTGCAATGAATGCAGCATTTCACCTGTGCAGCTCCTCATGGCTCTAAGATTCACTGTCACCTTCCACATTAGAACCTCAGCCCAAATGCACTAAGCATCTTCCTCTCCCTCTCTCCCTTCATGGATCCCTAGTCCTGGCTGACTTGGAAGTGTCCATAGTTTCAGTGGGACCTACAGAAAACTCTCAGCTCTTGGTGAGCTTTCTCAGTCAACTACCTTCCCAATCAAGATTGCTCATGCCACATCTTGGACATTATATACTTAATAACTAGTTCCATGGAGAAAATAAATATTTGCATCTTTGTCCAGACTGTATGACATGATGTCTCAGTCAGGTTTCTATCACTATAGCAAACACCTGAGATAATCATTTTATAAAGAGAAAAGGTTTGTTTTACATCACAGCCTCATATGTTTCAATTCACGGTCAGTCGGTCCTATTGCTTTAGGTCTGTGGTGAAGTAGCACATCATGTGGGGGAGCACATGGTGGAGCAAAAACCACTCATCTCATAGTTGAAAGAGAAAAACAGGAAGGGACCAAGGTCCCACATTCCCCTTCAAGGGCATAACTTCAGTGACCTAAAGACTTCCCTCTAGGCCCTACCTCCTAAGGGCTCCACCACCTCCCAATAGCACCACCTTGGGGAGTGAGCTGCTAACACAGGAGCCTTTGGGGAAAACTTAAGAACTAACCTCTAGCAGGGAGTCAGAACAAAGGCTGTGCCTACTTGTTGGTGCAGCGACTTGTGGTAGTGTTGTGGTATTTTTGCTGATGATGTCATCAGTGGTACAATTTTTCCAAAAGGAGCCATCAACTGGCTTGGTGTATCTTCCTCCCTTCTGCTTGTCATGATCGTTAAGCTAAAATTTGAGGGCCAACAGAGGTGAGGCAAAGAACCTCACCACCCTGCTGGTACAAAGACCTCTCCACAGGTGTGGCTGTATACTGGACGGGTTGTCAGTGACGGGTAAGATCTAATTGCAGTGGTACCAACCTAAGACAGGAGGCTGACGCCTTGAGGTCAGCTCATCAGATAACGGGTAAGAACCATATGTATGTACTATTGGACAACCTAAGGCAGGCACGGTCCCTAAGCCACATGCTTGTTGTTTAAACAGAGAGGGGGAGATGTTGAGAGCCACAGCCGAAGGGGCTCCAGCAAACTTCTAGCTGCCAGCAAACTTCCAGCTGCCGGCTGATGATTGCCTCACAGCGGCCCCAACAACATCTAGCTGATTGGCTCCTCTGTGGTGATGCTCATTGGAGATGCTCATTGAGCTGTTTCCCCACCCTTTCAGACTGCCAGCTGATGATTGGCTCACAGTGGCTCCAGCAACATCTAGCTGATTGGCTCCTCTGTGGTGATGCTCATTGGGCTGCTTCCCTGCCCTTTCAGACTACGGAGCTGCTCATTGGGGGACTTTTTTGGCTCTGCCCACGTGACCCAGCCAATCGGCCTCAAGAGCAGGAGGCTTGTGGGAGGTGGAGAGGTGTGTGTTGGTGTGAGAGGCTTGTGGGAAGCCGGTGGTGGCAGTTGGGCTCTGAGGGTTTTTCCTGAGGAGCTGTTTTGTTTTGCATGTGTGGTTCTAAAAATAAAGTTAGTTTCTTTTGACAAGTGGCTCCTGAATTGTGCCCAGCCAGACTACGGCACCTACTTAGGTGGCTTCAACGACATTGATTTCTCACAGTTCTAGAGGCTGGAAGCCTGAGATCAAGGTGTTAGGTTCTGGGAGGCCCTCTTCCTGGATAACAGCAGACTTCAGATATTCTCACATGGAGGAAGAGAGCTAGCTCTCTGGTCTCTTCTCAGAAAAGCCCTAATCCTGTCAGGAGGACTCCACTGCCATCATTTGATGGGTTGGAGTTTCAACTTGTGAATTTGGTGTGTGGGGGGAGGGGGGACAAACATTCAATCCATGGCCACCAATGTTGGTTTGAGGTGGCTTCCTTGCTACTCTGGCTCCCGGCACCCCTGGGCCCCTAAGGGTACTAACTAGGTCACAGAATGGTGACTGTCTGTTTATGGACCTCCTCCTCTTATCCACCTTGAGCTTTTCCTCTGTGCCTAATTCAGGTGTGGCACAGAGCAGGTGTTTCCTTGGACTGGGATGGAGGAAGGCAGGCATCTCACAGTCAGGGCCAGGAGGCTGGGGGACAGTGGCCAGTCTGAGGGACCGAGGGGGCAGGGAGTATACCAGAGGGATGCTTGGCAGGAGGGACTGGTTTGTACAGGAGAGTTAGGAGGCGGCCGTGAGACAAGATGTGTGTTTGGGATCTGACTGAAGAAACCTAAAAATTCAGGAATTTAAAAAAAAGAGAGATTTAGATTTGATTTTTTAGAGCCCTCAAGAGAACAGTGCCTTCTCTGACCAGACACCCTGCTAAGAACTTAAAACACAATGCCATTTTTAGAGACTTCACTTGTTATGGCTGGTTCATTTTAACCAGTGATAATGATGTTCCATTTTTACTTTAAGGATATATAGCATTTCCTTCTTACCTAGCAAATATATACAAATATAAAATAAAAAGAGTTCCTTTACTGTAGTATCAGGTGAAATGTAGATGCTACAAAATGTTTGGAGGAAGGTCTTAGGATGACTGAAATTGAAGACATGCATCCAAGCCAAGGTCAGTTGCTCCACCAGCCAGGAGCACAGAGGGCACCTGAGTCCCTGCTCCTGGTGCGGCCTGCTTCCCCTCTCACCTGAGTAATTGCTCCGCCTTTCCACAGGTGACCCACTGGCACAGCCCCTATTTCTTCGCCTACTTCCCCACAGCCAGCTCGTATCCATCCTTGATCGCAGACATGCTGTGTGGAGCCATCGGCTGCATAGGCTTCTCTTGGGTGAGTGTCCTGGTGATCCTTGGGGGGCAGTCCCTGTGTAGGGAGATGGCCTCTGTATACACAGGACATGAGCAGATGGCTATGCTGCCTGTGAGCTGCAGGTCATTTTGCAGAGAGGAGGGAAAGATTAGCTCCAAGAGGGTGCCTTTAAAGGAGGGAGATTTCCAATGGGGAGAAGTTGACAGAGAAGCAAGAGTGCTTTATGGAAAGGTATCCACAACCTGAGGTCAGTCCTACACACTGATGTTTTTTATAAGCATTTAGTTTAAATCAAAACCACAGCCCAAGGCTGGAAATCTGCATTTCCCTAAAACAGACAAGAGGATTTCTATACATTCCAACGTTTGAGACCGATACTGCCCTTGTCTCATTCCATCTTCCTCTCTCCAGGGCTACTGCCCCAGGAAGGGCCCCAGCCCAGCAGATGGGCCCAGTGTGTAGTGTGCGGGTGTCTGGAAATGGGCCCATTGCCTGCATGATGGCCACTAGTCTCATCCTATCTGGCTTAAGATGCCTAGAAAGTTCCTTGCTCAGAAAGCAGTAAGCCTGGCTCTTCCTGTGGTTCTCTGCACCAGCACAGAGCTTCAGGGAAGATTCTTTTCAAAATTCAGAGAGGTCAGAAGCAAAGATTCCTGCTGACCATCACTGGGCCCAGGGATGCCCATGCTGTGAGGAGTTCTACCAAACTTGGAGTCTGTCTCGGACCTTCTAAGTCTGGAGTGTTCTCCTGATCTGTGCCTGGGAGTGGATGGCCTTCTGAATATTAACTCATGTTGAGGGCCTGGGATACTGAAAGTAGAGGCTGATTTTTTTTTTCAATTCACAGCACCAAGAAGCAGGGCTCAGCCTAGCTGGTGGCTTTATCTACTCAGCACCAATTGTTCTTTCGACTGGAGGTCAGCAGGTGCTGGTGCTGGGTCAGCAGGTGCTGGTGCTGGGTCAGCAGGTGCTGGGCCAACAGGAACGGCTGATGAGGTTCATCCAGTTCCTACCACAGCTGACTACATTGCTCCTCTGTTGAGAACCCGGGATGCCTTCCTTGTGAGTCATAGCTGGCCCCGGGCACTAGCAGTGTAACCAGGCCTGGCACAGCTTCTTCGAAAGAACATTTTCTTTTCATTAGATAGTGTAGCAAGTTTTGTGTGCTTCTGCTAGTCCCAAGTTTTCTGTTCCTCCAGGGCGACTTGGCACATCAATCTCCAATTACATCTGTTCTTTCTAGGATAGTCTGATTCTCTTGGGCCTTTGAAGGGGTACATCCCTGTCTTGGAGGCTGTGTTGCCTGAAAGCTATAGTTCCTAGCAGGGAGTACATCTTCCTATGCCTGAATCTAAATTAAGTCAGGATGGGGTATAACCTACCAGGATGGAGCTGACCTGACCAGCAGGGAGAAGGACCTCACTTCTTTTTATGCAACGTATCATCATGCTGATATACACAGGGAGACATGAGAACACCCTTAGCACCACATTTGGGTCCTTTACGTGGAGCCTTAGATGAAGATGGAGGCTTAATCCATCTTTGGATGGGAACAAGGCCCACCTGCCACCTCCTGTTTGCAATAAGGGAGAGTCCAGAGGCCCAGGTCATCAGGAGCTTAAAATACAAGATCAATGGCTTATCCAGGGATGTCCAGTGGATAAAAGCAGCCCAGCACCCACTTCCTTAACTCCATCCTAAACTCTTTCCATTCTCTTGTGACCATGGAGGACGGCCCACCAGTGGGTCTTTCTAGATCCTTCTATAAGCAGTGAATACTGAGCAAGTATGCAGTGCCCATGGGGTGAAGCACACTGGAGTAAGGTTCACAGTGGTACCCATGCACTTTTTCCCAGCCTTGCATGGTTCTTAGTTAAGTGGCACATATTTGAGACTTGTTTCAGCTATTTAATGATATCTGAGATTGGGTGATTTTTATCTAGGGTTCAGCAGGTGTTTAATTCCTTCTGCTCCTTCCAAAATTATGTGGCATCTGGCCTCCTTGCTCTGGCACTGGCCCCTAGACAATCCATGATTGTGTGTGCGTGTGTTTGTGTGTTTGTGTGTTTGTGTGTGTGTGTGTGTGTGTGTGTATGTTCGAGGTGACATCTCTAGGCACAGTTCAGGGATCACCTCATGTGACCCAAGTCTGTGATGGAGAAATGATAAGGATGGTGAGTTCACCATGTCAGGAAGGGCCACTGAGACATGCAGAGACTTGCACATAGGAAGCACATCCCTTCTAGTGGTAGATCTAGGAATTTTTCCAAGTGAGGGACAGGGAGGCAAACTCCCCTTTATGAAGGTCTCAGCACGGTTGCTCAGAATAGTCCTTTAGTTATGTATTAGTCTGGGAGAGACGTGGAGCCCTACTGCCAGCCCTCCCATGGAGTAAGGTACTGTAAGTATGCTGCTGGTTCTCTGAAACTAAGAAGGGAGAGCATAACCTTGTCTTTGTCCATTTTCTGATACTATAGCAGAATGTCAGAGACTGGGTAATTTGTAGACAATTGAAATTCATTTGGCTTAGAGTTTGGTAGGCTGGGAAGTCCAAGAACTTGGTGTGGTATCTGGCCTTTTTTGCTGCATCATAACTTGGTGGAGGAGCAAGTGAGCATGCCTGAGACAGACAGGACATCCGGCTAACCTCCTCCCTTTTATAACTAATGCACTCCTCTAATAGCAGCCTAATTCATTCATGAGGGTTATGCCCCCATGATCTCATCATCACTCTTAAAGGCCCCAACTCTTGACACTCTCACATAGGGAGTTCCATTTTATGCAATTTGGGGAAACATATTCAGATAATAGCAAGCGTACGATTAATTCCTACCAGGGAGTGGATGTTTTAAATAATTTTAAAACTTTAAAAAAAAATAGGGCTGGGGATATAGATCAGTTGGTAGAGTGTTTGCCTTGCATGCACAAGGCCCTGGGTTCAATCCCCAGCACCACAAAAAAAAAAAAAAAAAAAGAAAGAAAGAAAGAAAGAAAGAAAGAAAAGAAAGAAAAAGAAAACAGATCGAAATAAGTTATCCTTTGTCTTTCCCTTGTATTCCAAGCAGACAAGAAGCAGAGGGCAGCTGCCCTTGGTTTATCCCTTCTCTCTCACCCACAGGCAGCGAGTCCAGCATGCACAGAACTGGAGACAGTGATGATGGACTGGCTTGGAAAGATGCTGCAGCTGCCAGAGGAGTTTTTGGCTGGAACAGCTGGAGAAGGGGGAGGAGTGATCCAGGTAAGACAGGGTAAGGTGGGGAGGACAGCTTGATGGGATTCATGGGTTCCACAATGGCCACAAATGTGGGTGGAAAAGGGGGCACGTGCGCAGCTTTCTGCTGTGTCCTCTTTATTTCTTCCAGAGAATAAACAAAGCTGAGCTCTGAGGAAAATCCAGGTCTTGGAGAAGGCAGGATCTGGATTTGGATCCCAAGCTGTCTGTCACTAGCTTTAGGCAGGACACTGACTTCCCCAGTCTCCCAGTCATGATTGGTAGCATAGTTGGCTAATTCATAGCATAGCGGAGCAGGTGCACAGAAATAGAAACAACCAAATTTATGTTGCTTTTTCCATTGCCTAGATCCCGGCAATGTAAGCTCTATCACATAGTCATTCCCAACAGATATATGTTCAGTGTTAATAATCCTTTAATTTTCATAACAGCACAATGAATTAGGGAGCCCTATTTTACAGAAGACGAAACTGAGGCACAGAACATCAGTTAACTTCCCTTTTGCTCCAGGTGGTAATTTATAGGCCATATCTTTATGACACAGAGACTGTAATCTCACCACCACCACCACCACAGGACCCTGTTCCCACCTTAAGTGATAGTTGTGGCTGCATTTCAATGAAGATAAATGTCACTTATCTATGAACCAATTGTTTGCCTAAAGATGCTGCTGTTTCTATGCATACATTTAATTCATTCTCTTCACTTAATATATATCCTAACTAAACTAGGAGGCAATCTCCAGTACTGAGACTACTCAACAGGACTAGGGGTTTTAAATCCACATCTATTAGGTTTCTATTGCTGCCTAACACATTACCACCCCCCATAACACATGTTAGTGAATTCAAACAAATGTATTATTATCTTACAGTTCTTCTACTCAGAAGTCTGACCTGGGTCTTATAGGGTAAAATCAAGGTTGACACTTTGGAGGTCCAAGGGAAGAATCCATTTCCTCACCTTTCCCATCTTTGAGAGACTTCTGGAAATCCTTGTCCCATGCCCACACCTCCATCTGCAAAGCCACTATGCTTCTGCTCTCTAACCTTTCTTTCATGGTCACTTTTTCTTACCACAAATGAGAAAGTGGGTCAAAACACCCATGTGATTGGATTGGGTCCACTCAATAATCTAAGATAATCTCCCCAAGTCAAGGTTCTTAACTTAATCACATCAGCAAAGTCACTTTTCCCTGTGAGGCAAATAGTCACAGGTTTGGGGGGACTGACACCTGAAATCTTTGGGGATGGGAGATACATTATCTCAGTAGCCAGCATGAGCTATGGGAGAACGTGTGTACATAGCAGTTTTCTGGACTATTCAAATTCAACAGGTCTTTGATGGGTGCAGCCCTGTGAATTCTAACTCCTTCTGATGCAAAATGAGCAGGTCACACCAGTCATGGATGGCTTCCTTCTCTGTGACCACCTGACCATGGACACGCTCAAAACTGTTCCCTCTGTGAGCTCATCTCACCCCACACATTCTCTGGTTATCTTACTCTAGCATATATAAGTCATTCTGAATGGGAAGCTGATTAAAATGAAATATTAGCTATATTGTAAGCTTTGATAGGATGGTGTGAATCCCACTTTTAAATACAACAGTGACAACATTCTTGCAAATTCAAAATACCTCAGCTCCCCAAGACAGGTTTCTTCTTATCAGAGATAATGAGGCCACTCCCATACTCTGGTCAAGGTCAAAGAAAAGACACCATGTATGGGCTGGGGTTGTGGCTCAGTGATTCAGTACAGCGCTTGCCTAGCATATGTGAGGCACTGGGTTCGATTCTCAGTCCTGCATATATAACGATAAAATAAAGGTCCATTGACAACTAAACAAATATTTAAAAAATAATAATAAAAGACATCATGTCACAGGTGCCCTTTGGCCTTGTGGGAAGGCTGCTGCTCCTGGCCCCCACAATGGCTGGTCAGTTTCATTTCCCCGGGGTGAAGTACAGATAGGTTTCTCATTTCTGGTATTTGAGTCCTGAATTTCCATAGGATGCTGTTGTCCTCCTTGTCAATAAAGAGCAAGCCTGAGTGTTCAGAGACAGAAAAAAAGGCAGCTACGATCAGGATGGGAGTGGTGCAGAGGAACTGCCCACAGGGGCCCTGGGTTTGGCTCTAGTTGACTCAATCCCAAGCTGGTCTCACCCTTCACAACAGGCCTGATGCTGGAGGCAGATTCACTTTTTATTGTATTCCCATACATTTTGCCAAGATCTACTTTTCCATTAGTTCATTCACTTGGGCCCCTTAGCATTTGGTAACTCCTACTAATCCAAGACTCAACTTACATTAGAAGATTTTTCTTCTAAGGTATCTTAGTTAATGTTTTAAGTCACTTCTACTCTGTTTTTCACATGCTTCAATTTCTACATAGTGGAAAATGCCTCTTTCATAATTTCTGTCTTTAAATAATTTCCTTTGTTTTTGTCATTTTCTTCTGTATATTTTCGGGAGAATTTCTGATGGTTTTCTCTACATCATTCAGCTTTCCACACCACCAAGATTTTGCCTATCTTGGATCTATGATTTTATTTTTAAAAAATACTGTCCCCTTTCTACTTAGAAAGGGGGAAATTAGACATTCATTGTAAAAATAAATGAATACGGTAACCATTTTGAGGCATGATTCCCCTCAGAGTTATTAGTGTTTTTTTAATACCTACATAGCTGCACACACACACACACACACACACACACACACAAACATACATTTGCAACAAAATTGAGGTAATACAATGCAAATATGCTTTCTGTATGGTGTTCCATTTTATATTAATTGTGAGCGTTTTCCATTTTTAAAACATTCTCAGAGAATGTTTTTATGCATGATTTCCTATGATGTGACAAAATTTATATAATTAATACCTTATATATATTTATTTTAATTTTTATTCTTAAAAATAACATTTCAAATGATATCCTACATGGTGAGGTATGATAGTCTTATTGGTTTCCTCTTGGAGGCTCCTAGTTGTGGTCCATGTGAAACATTCATGCCGTTCCCAAACTTAAAAGAGCACTACCCCAACAACAAGAGAACTTTTCTGGGCCATTGGATCCTGTTTTTGTTTTTGTTTATTTTTAATTTTTTTTGTGTGTGTAGTGTTGGCAATCGAAACCAGGGCCTTGCATATACTAGATAAGTGCTTTACCACTGAGCTACATCCCCAGCTTCTCAATGGATCTTATAATAAAAACACTTTTATGTTTATATCTTTTCCAGCACCCCAAGATAAGTCTTATGATTTGATACATCTCAAAGAAGTTAAAAATACCCCATAATCTGAAGTGTGTCTACTATAATAATAGCTACATTTATTGAACACCAGCTACAAACTTGGCTATGTTTTAGCCTATTTCTTATACTTTATGTTATCACTTTTTATCCTCAAAATAATTAGTGGATTGATTGCATTATCAAGAATCTTTTGCATGATTGAGGAAATTGAAGACCAGAGTGGTAGTGTAGTATGCATGTTCCAAGAGCAAAAGCTATTTAAAGACAAAGCTATTACAGTGGATCCCTGATCATTTGTTAGGGTTAGTAACCAGAGGTGTACATGCTATCATGGGTTAAAATATCTTTTTTTTAAAGATGATCCCATTTTTGAAGCAAAAAAACGGGGGAGAGATCCTAACATGTGGTTAGGAATAGTCCTGGTATCTCAGCTCAGGCTTCAACACAATCCCCCTGTGCCCATCCCACTCAGTTTTGCTGGAAAAAAGCAGACTGCCAGACCCGTGTTTGTGGCAGGAAGCTTGCCTTTCCCAGATGACAAGGCTGATTGACTGTAATTTGCAAGACCCCAAAGAGCACCGAGGCTTTGGGTAACAGCCGGTGAGCCAGCCTGCCGCATCGATTCCCTAAGAGCTATAATCACAGCTACTGGGCATCTGCACAGTGATGGGCTTCTGAGCCAAGTGGCAAATCATCATTGTGAAGCTGAACAAATGTCACCTGGAAGAATGGTCTCCAAATTAGCTTAAAAGCTCTCATGGAAGAAAAGCTCCCAATTTCTTGCCCCATATGGGGCGACACTTGAAAAAAAAAAAAAACAGAAGATGAAAAGGCAGTTCTGCTCATGACATCAGCAGCCCCAGCATCAGCTCTCGCCACCATTCCCTCCTGTATCCTGAGCAGGCTCACCATGGCAACCGTGGTCTACCGGAAGCAGAGCCATCAGGCACCCTGACTGCTCTCTTACCAAAGAACAGTCGCCCTCCCTACTCTTAACTCAGCAAAGCTCGGCTTCCAGCAAAAGCCAGAGATCCACTTGCCTTCCTGCTCAAATTTGCCAAAACCTGCTGGTTGCACTGGACCTGCTGTGGTCTGGATGCCATACCAACAATTGGTTTCATTGAGTGTTGTTGTTGTTTTCATTGTTTTGTTACCTAAAGGAGGAGAATTTTTTCTCAGGACATGGAAAGTGCCCCCCTCCCAGCCCATGATGAATCAGCATGGTGACTCAAAGCCTTTCATTAGATCAGAGAATGAACATTTGGAATCCAAAGCTTCAAGCAGGGTAGAATTTAGATAAGAAAGTTGCAATCATAGCTCAGTTTAAGGGAAACTGGACTTCCTGGGCCAGCCGTTTCATCTTCCTCAGGTGCATTTCTTTCATATGTTCTAAAACCATGTTTAAAATAATTTCTCATCAAAATACAGCTTGAAGACCCATTTTAGATGTTGAATTAAGAGGATTCTCTTCTGTATATTTGAGCTCAAACATTGGAGCTACAGAAACATGAATAAAATGAATTTATCTTCAAATCTTATCCATCCCTCTAAGGGATATAACTTGGTTCAAAGAATAAGTAAAAGCAGTGGAATGGGAAAACCAAAATGGAAAACCAGGCTCCATGAAAGGAGGATAAAATGTTAATAAGAGATGTGGACATTTCTATGTAATTATTCTATTGTATTTTTCTCTGTATAACGCTGTAACTTTGTAAACCTCCTTCATAGTCAGAAAAAAAAAAACTACCTTCTTTTATTTATCATTTCTAATGTTAGTACTGGCCAGCGGGTGGGTGTCTTCTGGGACTGGCTGAAGAGGAAAGTGCACACAAATGCAGGGAGGCCAGAGCCATCCCTGAAAGGCCAGATGTGTGTCCACTGTTGACCATGCCACTCCCTAGCTACCGATTTGAGGGAAGTTGTGTAATGTCTCTGAGCATCAGTTTCCCTGTCTGTACATGCCAACGTTTAAAAATGAGCTTTTGCAAATTAAATGGGATAACTTCATAGACACTGAATCCATATCATGCACCACTGTTAACTTCAAAGGAGGAATTTGAATAGTTCTTTACTACTTTTTGCTAAAATAAGTTGTTGAAATTAGTTGTATTAGTTTGTCAGGGCTGCCTTAAAAAAAAATCAAAAACAAAAACAGAAATTCATTGTCTCAGAGTTCTGGAGGCTGAAAGTCCAAGATCAAGGCATTAACAGGTTCTATTTCTGCTGAGGCCTCTCCTTGGCTTGCACCTGGCTGCCTCCTCGCTGTGTTCACATGGTTTTTCCTGTGTATGTGTGCATGAATCTGTTGGCTAATTTCTTCCTCTTATTGAGATACCAGTCAATTTAGACTAGGGTCCACACTAAAGACCCCCTTTTAACCTAGATCCTATTAAAGATCCTATTTCTAAATAGTTACATTTTGAGATATTGAGGTTTAGGGCTTCAACATATGAATTTGGGGGCAGGGCACAATTCAGCATGTAACATTCGGGATTAAAATAAGTACTATAAGGAAAATGTACCTGTATTTTATATACAAATTGCTCTGTCTGAGGGTATATGAATACATAGGTGCCTGGGACCAGTCTCCTTTGCTGGAGATATGAACAGTACATCCCTGGCCAGGCTTGAGGTGCCCACAGGAGAATGCCTGCACAGCCAGTTTAACAATGCAATGTGTGGCACATGCTTAGTGTTTGCAACTGTTGGCTACTGCTGATACGGGGGATAGACAAAGCAATGCTAAACTCACTATACGAACTAAAGAGGCCTCCACAGGTGTTAGATTGTGTTAGATTGTTCCTTTGCAAAAAAAAAAAAAAAAAAAAAAAGAGTGAGCTTTGCAATTTCAGGTTTATCTTTTAAGAAAACAATGGATAAAAAGTATGTCTTGCAACGGTTCAGACACTGATTCTTTGACTGCATTTTGAATTTCATTTGGACCTTTCTCCTGGATTTAGGGGAGTGCCAGTGAAGCCACCCTGGTTGCCCTGCTGGCTGCTCGGACAAAAGTGACCCGGCGGCTCCAGGCAGCATCTCCAGAGTTGACGCAGGCCGCCATCATGGAAAAGCTGGTAGCCTACTTCTCTGATCAGGTGAGTAAGTGCGTGTGTTGGGAGGTATTGGGCTATAGCCCCACAGACATTCAAGGTCTGAATCCAAACAAACTTTACTATTGTTTCAAATCCAAAAACAGTTCCTCACAGATCACTAGGACAGAGACTTATACTAATTCTCAGGTGGGAACTTGAGAGATCAAGTTGAAAAGAAAATATATGTACTGAGAACTCCCCATGGCTGACTTGTTACCGTATGTAGCAGCATGGACTTAGATTACACTCATCTGGCCCACCTTCAGAGCAGCATTGCGTAGTAATTGGATGTTAGACTCAACAACCTAATCACAAATCCCAGTTCTGCTTTTTTAAGCTTTGTGATCTCAGGCAAATCACGTAAATTCTGAGAGCCTCTCTTTCCCTCCTATCAAACAGGGATCAAAGCATCCATCCTTGGTATAGCTGCTCAGCTCAGCTTGTGGCTGAGCATAAGGGGAAAGATTTAAAGAATTTTGTAAGGTTTAGAAAACTCTGCAAATAGAAATATCTAATCTGATTCCATTGGTCAACCCATTTGAAAATGGTAAACAACAGCAACAAAACAAAGCCCAGAATTATGGGGAAAGGAGCAAGTGGAAAGAGAATTGATCAGCATGAAGAGAATAACTCTATTAGAGTAACTATGATCAAGAGGGCACAAAAAGAATAAAAACTGTGCCACCTTCAAGAAATTAGATTGCACAGGGAATTGCCGACTTAGGTTTGTCAATATTTTTTATTTTCAGTGAATTCCTTAAGCCACACATTTGAACTATAACCATTTTTTCTAGGAAGTACTTAGCCTGAAATAAATACAATACCCATATTTCAGACCTAATTAGGAGGATTATATCTTTGTATCCTAATTCCATCCATTAAGATTCTACTTACATATGAAGAAAATTGTTCATTTGTATTTAGGACTCCCTTGTTTCCCAGAAGACTTAAAAAAATTAACACATAGGCACTCAATAAGTATATACTGATATCCACTGCTATGAATGTTAGGGTTTAGCCTGTCCAGCAGGGCTTCTGTGAAGGAGCTTATCTCACCAGGAAGTGGCTGGGTGAGACACAACTAGCATCACTCCAGATGCCCAGCAGCTCAGGATGCCAAGGACGCTATGGCATCTTTCTATGGATCTCTGTTAGGTTCCCCAGGAACTATACAGGGCTTGTGTCAATTTTTTTTTCTTTTCACTGTTTTTATTCTCATTTTCCATGTTGACATTTTGTAATTCTGTGTAAATTAAGTCACCATCACATTTTAAGTACGAGGTCAGCTGAATTAAGAAAACAGAACAAAGAAGCCAGAATGACAATGTTTTTTAGAAGGAAATGGCAGTATTCACAAAAGCTAACTTTAATTGAGTAGCTGAAAGGGGAGTTAGAACACAATGCAAACATGGTGGTTCATGGAGAATTCCCATCTCTATTCTGTGCTGCAGTATCTCATGGGTACATTTATCATTAAGATATAAATTAGGAATGAAAGTAATAAAACAAATGAGAGACCTAAACTTTAGTTCAAATAAATGAAAATCTGTGGGCTGAGATCTACTTTGTTCCCCAAGAAAAAGAAAGAATACGAATGAGAATTATTATGAGTTTGGGGGATCCAGAGATCACAAGTCAGCTGTAGGAATGCACTCTGTAGCTGCATATGTTGTTGTATCAACGCCCTCAGCAGAAAGTTCCTGCTTGTGTGGAGGTACTGCTTGGACCAAGCTGGTGTACATCTTCTGCAAAAACTGTGCTGCACGTGAAGCAGGCACATAGTCATCTGTGGCCTTGCCTTCCCCCCTTTTTTAAAATTCACTTTAGTTTTACACAATATTAGGGTTTATTTTGATATAATTATACAAGCATGAAATATAATTTGTTTTAATTCAGTATGCAGTAATTCCCCTTCCTCATCCCACCTCTCTCCCCCTGCCTTCCCTTTCTCTATGCTACTGATCTTTCTGCTATTTATTTATAGTTTTGTTTTAAACTAGTGCCTTGTAGATATACATAAGGTGAGATTCATTGTGATATATTCATATATGTACATAGGAAACTTAGGTCAGATTCACAGTTCTTCCCTTATTCATTCCTTCTCCCTACACCCAACCCCTTTCTCTACCCCACTGATCTATATTCCATTTGATTGACACTCCCCCTCCCCACCTAGCTTCTGCATATCAGAGAAAACATTCAACCTTTGACCTTCTGGGTCTGGTTTATTTCACTCAGCATTATGGTCTCTCCAGTTCCACCCATTTACCAGCAAATGGCATAATTATGTTCTTATTTATGTCTGGGTCATATTTCATTATGTATATACAACCCATTTTCTTTCTCCATTCATCTGTTGATGGGTTCCTTGTTTGGTTCCATAGCTTGGCTAATGTGAACTGTGCTGCTATATACATTGATGTGTCTGTGTCCCTATAGTATGCTGATTTGAGATCTCAGGAGTGGAATAGCTAGCTAGGTCATATGGTGGTTTCATTCCTAGTTTTTTGAGGAGTCTCTATACTGCTTTCCAGAGAGGTTGCACTAATTTTTAGTCCCACCAACAATGTATGAGTGCACTCTTTCTCCATGTCCTCCCCAACATTTATATTATTTGTATTCTTGATAATTGCAATTCTGACTGGAGTGAGATGAAATCTCAATATATTTTTTTTTAATTTTTAAGAGAGAGAGAGAGAGAGAATTTTAATATATATATATATTTTTTAGTTTTCAGCGGACACAATATCTTTATTTGTATGTGGTGCTGAGGATCGAACCCAGGCCGTATGCATGCCAGGCGAGCACACTACCGCTTGAGCCACATCCCCAGCCTTCTCAATATACTTTTAATTTGCATTTCCCTGATTGCCAGAGATGTTGAACATTTTTTATATATATTTACTGGCCATTTGTATTTCTTCTTTTGAAATTTATTCACTGGGCTATTTGGTTTTTTGGTTCTAAGTTTTTTGAGTTCTTTATATTTTCTGGATATGAATATCCTATTTGAGGAGCAAGTGGCAAAGTTGTCTCATTCTGTGGGTCTCCTCTTCACACTCTTTGTTGTGCAGAAGCTTTTTAGTTTAATGCCATTGAATTTTTATTTTATTTCTTTTGCTTTAGAAGTTTTATTAAGGAAGTTGATGCCTGTGCCAATATGTTGGAGCATTGACCTACATTTTCTTCTATCAATTGCAGAATTTCTGGTCTAATTTCTAGGTCTTTGATGCACTTTTGAGTTGGCTTTTGTGAAGGGTGAGAGATACGGATCCAGTTTTATTCTTCTACATATGGATATACTGTTTTCCTAGTACAATTTTTTTAAAGACTATCTTTTCTCAGAGTATATTTTTGGCACTTTAGTGTAGTATGAGATAGCCATATTTATATGGGTTTTTCCCTGTGTCTTCTATTCTTTTCCATTAGTCTTCCTGTCTGTTTGGGGGCCAATACCATGCTGTTTTTGTTACTATAGCCCTGTAGTGTAATTTAAGGTATGGTATTATGATGCCTCCAGCATTGCTCTTCTTGCTCAGGATTGCTTTGGTTATACTCTTTTATTCTTCCAACTGAATTTTAGAACTGTTTTTTCTAGTTCTGCAAAGAATGTCATTGGCATTTTGATGGAGGTTGCACTCAATCTGTATAATGCTTTTGGTAATATGACCACTTTGACAATATTAATTTTGTCTATCCAAGAATATAGATGATGTTTTCATATTCTAAGGTGTTCTTCGATTTATTTCTTCAGTATTCTATAGTTTTCATTGTAGAGGTCTTTCACTTCTTTGTTAGATTAATTCCCAAGTACTTTGCTTTTTAAGGTACAGTTTTCCTAATTTGTTTTTCACCAGATTCACTGGAATATAGGAAAACAATTGATTTTTGTATGTTGATCTTGTATCCTGCTACTTTACTAAATTGTTTATCAGCTCTAGAAATTTTCTGCTGGAGTTTTAAAAAATATTCTAAATATAAGATTATGTCATCAGCAAGAAGAAAATTTGACCTCATCTTTTCCTATGTGTGTTCATTTAATTTCCTTCTTTTGCATGATGGCTCTAGCTAGAGTTTCAAGGACTCTAAGTAGGAGATGTGAGAGTGTATACCTTTGTCTTGTTCCTATATTTAGAGGAAATATTTTCTGGTTTTTCTACATCTGGTATGAAGTTGGCCTTGGGTTTGTCATATATAGCCTTTACAATGTTGAGGTAAGTTCATTTTATCACTAGTTTCTCTAGTGTTTTAAATATAAATGGATGCTAGACTTTGTCAAATGCTTTTTCTGAATCTTTGAGATAACCATGTGATTATTGTCCTTAACTTCATTTATGTGGTAAATTACATTTATTGATTTTCTCATGTTGAACCAACCATGAAAATCCCTGTGATGAAACCCACTTGATCATGGTGCACTGTCTTTTCAATGTGTTTTTGTATGTGGTTTGCCAATATTAATAAGAATTTTTGCATCTATGTTCAAAGAATAGTAGCCTGTAGTTTTCTTTCCTCAATGCATCTTTGTTTGGTTTTGGTATCAGGATGACACTGGCTACACAAAATGAATTTGGCAGTTTTCTCTCCTTTTCTGTTTCATGGAATAATTTGAGAAGGAATGCTATTAGTTCTTCTTTAAAGGTTAGGTAGAACTTGGCTGAGAATTTGTTGGATTCTGGGCTTTTCTTTGTTGGAAAACTTTTAAGAGCTATCTCAATTTCATTACATAATATTGGTCTGCTTAAGTTTTCTATATTCTCATGGTACAATCTGGGTAGATCATGTGTCTGTATCTCTAGGAATTTGTCAATACTTCCAGATTTTTCTAGCTTACTGGAGTATAATTTTTCAAAATAATTTTTAATGATTCTCTGGATTTCAGGTGATATTTTCCTTTTTATATAATTTTGTTAATTTGAGTCTTCTCTTTCTTTTGGTTAGTTAAGTCTATCAATCTTGTTTATCCTTTCAAAAAAATCAACATTTTGTTTCATTGATCCTGT